TGAGAACAGATTCAAGTCTAGATAGCACTTTTGAAAGCCTCACCTCAGTTGTACTTTGTGACCTTTCTCTTCCTTTTCTCTTCCTGATACTGTGATGTCATTGTGTGAGCCTGATATCCTGCAGCCATTGCAGTAGGAAAAGACATCATGTCATTAGAAACTTGGACTGATTTTTAAATGAATTTTCAACCCACCCCTCCAATCAGGCTTCCTGGAGGAGGGTACTGTGGTCTGGGTATGACGCACTGTGTGCCCTGAACTCTGTCAGACTCTGCATTCCCATGCAAAGCTCCGCAGTGAGCAAGGTTTAACACACCACCTGCAGGGGCACTTAGTTTGAAGATCCCGGTTCTCCATCTTGCCACTCTTTTTTGTGTCACGTTATCAATTATGATGTGGTCCAAGTTGGTCAGAACATTTGACTGTGTTAATCCAGGGCCCCTGTATCCTGCTGTTGTTCCAGCTGGACTTTGGGCTCTGTTTGAACATCCAGAGTGTGTTCACTGTTTCCTCAGACTGGCATGAACAAGCATACTGCCTTACTCAAACTTGTGGCTGGTTGAATTCTGTTCAATACTGAGTCTCTTCTCTATATCTAAAGTTGGCTTCTTGACCCTCATGGCTGACAAATCATTTGCTACAGTAAATGTAGTACAGACTTTTTCCATAAGTAGTATGGAAATCATGGGTTACTGAGTTATTACTCTTATGCAAAGAGTGTTTGTTTTATTTTTGAAGGTTGTTCTCTAATAGCAGAAGCCCTCCAACCACAGTAACTTGAAAAAAACCCAAACCCCCTGTGACTCAAGTGATGTCAAGTTTGCAGGCAGCTGTGCTGTCACTTTAGTACTTTGGCTGCATAACAAACTTTGAAGAGAAGCATTGCTAATCTGCTCTGTTTCTCTCTGCACACAAGTCTAGAGTGGTCCTGAAAGGTTTACATTCCTGCATTTCATGTTCTACTTAAGCTATTTCTAATTTTATTATTGCAAGGGACCATTGAGAGCTGGTCTCCAAACTAGTTTAGACAAGTGCTTTAAGGCTGTGTGGTGCTTAGGCTGCTTGAGGAAATTGAAGGGAAATGCTCAGTAGAATGTAAATGTTCATCATCTTTGGGGTCTCTCAAAAGAGTACTTTCTAGGGATGTTTTGAGAAATAAGGGGGAATGAGTTTATTTCCAAAGTAGGCACACTGGTTCATGATTGACGTAAATCCTCTTTTTGTGACTTAAAACCTTTGAGGGTGTATCTATCCAAACAAAGAGGAGAAGAGGAGGCTCGGGGGAGACCTCATCACTCTCTACAACTCCCTGACAGGAGGTTGTAGCCAGGTGGGGGTTGGTCTCTTCTCCCAGGCAGCTCTCAGTAAGACAAGAGGGCATGGTCTTAAGCTGTGCCAGGAAGGTTCAGGTTAGATATTAGAAAGAAATTCTTTACAGAGAGGGTAATCAGGCATTGGAATGGACTGCCCAGGGAAGTGGTGGATTCTCCATCCCTGGAGGTTTTTAAGATGAGACTGAATGTGACACTTAGTGCCATGGTCTGGTAACCATGATGGTGTTGGATCAAGGGTTGGACTTGATGATCTCAGAGGTCCCTTCCAACCCAGCTGATTCTATGATTCTAAAGCCAGGAGATAATTTTAGCTCCCCTCTGAGCATCCAAGAAAAATTTAAATCATCCAATGATTAATTAACCAAGAACTTCTTTTGCAATTTCTGCCTGTGTTTAATGACTAAAGATTTAATTTCAAAAAGCTTCATTTATAGACATTACACACTCTGATACAATCAACCTATGTCCCTGAATGGAAGATGAGAAAATCTAATTTTTCCACCTTCTATCATCTATTTTTGCTTTTCAAACTCATTTCACTACTATAAAGGAGGTGACATCTGGAAAGCCTGCTACTGCAGAGCGTGGGCAGGGAGAGGTGGCACAGAGGAGACTAAGTGGTGAATCTGTACTATATATCACTATCTCAGCTTTAGTTTCCTTCCTGCTTCACTGTGCATACTGATAGAATGTCTCCGCTAACAGGTTTCCATGGATGGCCTATTCAGTATATGGGAGAGATTGGTACTATGTTATATCATGGCTTATTTGGGAAAATATTAAAAACACCTGTTTCAGTGAACTAATTTTTTCCAAATTGGAGAGGTTAAAGTTAATCTTCTGAATTCACATTCAGGGTCTGCTGGACCCTCGAGTCCTTCTATAAAGAAAACACAGCAGAGAAAAGTTAATTCACTCCAAAAGTATACCTGAAGATGGTACAATGATTGATTTTTACACTGGAACACTTGCAAACAATGAAAATGTTTCCTTCAGGGCTAAGGCAGAAGACGTAAAGAGAAGTCTGAGTCACTACTGTCAAATCTTAAAGCTTCTCCATGTACTGCATCCTGTTTTCCTGTACTGTTCTGTAGCTGATGGTCAGTCTGATTCAACTGCTTCTCTTAGAGACAGTGAATGGAACAGCAAATATCCATTCTTTTATTGTGTGCTTTTTCCAGAAAGGGAAAGCTAAATCTAATTTAAAAAAAAAAAAAAAAGGCACAACCCACAGCTGTGAAACCAATCTGTGATACTGGGGCTATTCATGTGCATGAGTGGAGGGAGGAGATGAGTGCATGCACCTTGTAAATAAACCAAGGGTCACAGGAAGTACTGAGTTCCTCTGATCTATATGTTCTGCTGTTTTTCTGAGTCCAAAGAACCTCTGTTTAGGCAGTATTTAAAAAAAAAAAAAAGAAAGAATTCACTGCAAAATAAGCATTGTATACAGCATTTAAAAAAAAAATAGAAACACCTATCTCTGAACCATTCTAAAACATGTAAATATTTTTAACTGTCTTAAAGTAATGTAAAAATTCTTTCACTTGTACTGTTGGACCACTACTTATAGCTTCTTTTATAAAGTATGGATGGCACCATAAATTGTCATAAAATATATCCAGATCTCACAGACCTTGTTTAAACACTAGTTTTGTATAGCCCTGCTATAGCAACAGATATATAGTACTGGGTGTACGACAGCACCCCAGAGCCAGGTCTGAATTTCTGCTATACTGTTTATTGCTTTGTGAAACGTGGTCGTGTTGCCAGGGGACGCTGGAGTGGGCTGGAATATCTCTGGAATTAACAACCTGGGTGATTGACCTCTGCAGCTCATTTCAGGTTTGTACTGCAAATAAGGTGAAAGACGAAAAAATATACCAAGGTTGGGTTTTATGGAGTGGAATCGTTTCTTTTTGAAAAAGGAAAAACCTTTCAATTTTCTCACTGTACCAAATCATGAAGTAGGGAGAGATGCATGTGGAAGAGAGGCAAAAGTTCCTTCTTCCCTTCTAAAATACTCTAGTCTATACTAGCTATGTAATACAAGTTGCTCTACAGTCTTCTCTGCCAGCAACAAGTCATTGAAAAATAAATGATAATTCTAACTATTGATGCTATGAAATACAATTTTAGTCAGAAACTTCATACAGGTGCTTGGCTAAATTGTAGCAAAATTGTAAAACTGCAGGGGAAGCAAACAAAAGACTGTGGCCATACTAATTTAAGGGATTTACAGTCAAAAGAATAATGTTACTTGAAGGCAGTGTCTGTTCAGAGAGTAGCTGATATTTCATAGTTCTCTTTTGTCTTCTCTGAGGTTGAAGTAATGCAAGAAGTGCCATTTGGTCCATGTCTGTGTCAGAACAAACATCGTGATCTACCTTGTGTGGGAGGCACATTTGTTTTTCCTGCTTCACAGAAATTAGATTTATTCGTAGTGATCCTGGAAAATTATTTCATGTAAGAGTGCCAGCTGGAGACTGGTTTACATTGTTTCAGGAGCATTCAGGTTTTGCAGTCAGACTCCCTCAGGTATACATATTTAGCAATAATACTGCAAGACCAGGTACTTTTCTTCTGCACTTTTTTGGCCCTGAAAGGAGGAAGATCTGATTTGCAGTGGCTTCCAGCTCCAGCAGTTGGTGATGGTGGAAGCTGGCAGCATTTGCTGTTTTGCCCTGTTCCTTCCAGCCGTTTTGCTTGTAACACAGATTTTGTCCTCCCTTGGAGGTCCCAAAGTCCCCAAAGGGTGGCAGTAAGAACACATGGCCTGTTCTTACCATGAGGTGACGTCTCTGGGTTTATAGCTTCTCCATTTGGGATGGAATAACGGAGTGGGCCTGACTAAGCTCATGTTATTTTGGAAAAATGGAAAATGTGAGAAAATCTTGTATTGCCACCCATGTGATACCAGTATCTCATGATGGTAACTCATTAAGACCAGGGCACTCTTTGATTTATTTTTCATTGTAAACTCTAATGTCACAAGATCTCAAACACTTTAGTTTTGGTGGTACTCATGTTCACAGTTCAAGCATAATCACAACTTTTCTTCTTTTACTTTAGTTCTCATCATGACCCACTGTGGTATAGGCTACTCAACATTTGTGGTGTAAATTTAATGCAACATTTGCAGTGAAATCACATGATCTTTGATGGTATTGTAAGGTACAGTCTGGATCTTGCCAAGGTAGTATCACAAGCAATGGGACTGCTAGTGAGTCTCACTGATTGCTACCTCTCTGCATATCAACCATGGGTGATCTCACATCATTAGTGTCCAAAGAGGATTGAACTATGAGTTCAGTGGTTAAACAATTTCTGTATTTGAGATTTGTTTGAAGTGCTGGTAGCTGGGGCAGTATGAAAAACAGGGAGGAAATTTAGACCTGCTCCTCTTTTTTGTGTGTTTTGGGTTTTTTTGTTTGTTTTATTTTTTGTTTGTTTGTTCTTTTTTGGGGACTGTGAGGATGGATCCGTGTAGGTCAGGATCACCTACTCCAGATAACTAAGATTATGGTTGTGTAAAATGGATAAAGAGAGACAAGTGGTGATGACAAAATTAATATTTGGATACCAGGATGAGTAGTGGCACAGTGGGATGGAAGGGAATCATGTGTTTCAGTACTTCAGTAATTATGGTTGAAAGATCACTTAAAATAAGATACAAAATGACAATAAAACTTTATTTTTAAGTAGATTTCATTGAAGAGTTCCTTATTATTTTGCAATAAATTAAACAGCAAAGATGCTACATACCTGCCTGTTGAGTACAAACTTGTTGAAAGTACAGCTTATATAATATATAATATATAATTTATAATATATTTACATAGCACAATAGCATCATGGAGCTCACACTCACACTCATTAACACTTCACAGATTTTTATGAAAGCTATCAGTCTTGTCTGAACATTTTCTCATTATGCACAAAATTATCAGTCATCCTTGTTTTTCTTCTGAACTTGATAATCTTTTCCCAGTACTCGGCTTGATAGTCTTGCACTTCCTAATAATCAGCAGTTCTTTGGGATCTAAGATTTGTTTCAATGTTCATAGTGTAGTTCAAACAACAAATGGTATCCATATCCTGTCTTGACTCTACGGTGTATGGGAGGAGAGGATTTTCTCCCTGTGCTGCTCTCACCCTTGTGACAGCCTCGCCAGCTTTTTTCCTGCATTGTCTTGGCTGTGGAGCTTTTTGCATCTCCCTCGTACTCTTCCTCCCAAGGCAGGGATTTTCCTTACCAAGATCCAACCACCCTGAAGGATCTTGTCAGGATACTTGACACAGAGTTTACGTGGCTCTTCGCTGCCTCAAACATTTTATTTTGAAGTGTTGGGTTGCAGCTGGTTCAAAAGGTTCAGGTAGGTTTTGGATTTTAAAAATCTGGGATATGAATCCCTTTCCATAAGGGTGTATACTGTTTTCTGGGCTTCATCAAAACTTGTGTGAGTTGGGTCTTGAGCCTTTTTGGCTGTTGCTTCTCTCATCTGATAGTCAATATTGATCTGGAAAGGAAAAAAGAAATGCCATTGAAAACTTAAAAATGTACTCTCTTTCTGTATCTAATGTTTTCAGCCTTAAAACTCAGTGTGATGGTTCAATGTCAGAACTGCAAAGTGAGGGATTTTAGGTACTTATATTCCAGTTAGGCACAGAAATTTCTGTTCACTATAGAAGTGCAGTTTCTTATGGAGTCAGAAGTAATACAGCTCAACAATGGACTACTCAGAGGAACAGCCTCCAGTTAAAGAGAGAAATCTTGCATTGATTGTCTCCAGTTTGAAATATGATCAACATACAGAACTTTCAATTTTCTAGAAGGTCCACATATTTTAAAAGACAAGAAATTACCCATGGTACTTCTGCTAGCAAACTCTAAGGATCTACAGACACCATCAGTAATTCAAACTGGGCTGACTCAGCAAGAAGCATCATGAGCTAAGCTGCTGAGGCCTTTGCTGAGCTCTGCTAGTGGTGCTGCCAAGTACTGGCCTGTATCCTGTGACTCTGTTTGTGAGATCTGATAATCTTATGGCTGAAGACAGCAATGATGCAAGTATGGTCATGAAAACATGTGTCTGTCTCTTCCTCTTATGTCACTGAGTGAATGCATGAGTATCTCAGTGAAGCTACACTTCTGAGTATCCAGAATCCTTGTACTGTAACAGTGCACTGATTGACTCTGTACATACCTGTTTAATAGCATCTGACTGAACAAACTCCTCATAAATCCTCTCTGCTTTGCCAGGTAACTGATCAGGCTTGGTTTTCTTGTAATCCTCACAAGCCAACCAGAACTCGATGTTTTCCTCGCTGAACTCTGACTTCAGGAACTCCCGAAAGACACCTTGACCACCTAAAGCCAAACACAAATACATCTTCACTTATTTACCAGAAAGGATAAAATAAATAGCAGGAGTTGTATTGAAATACGATATAAAATCTTGCCAAAATACACTGTTCTTCCCTTCTTCATCATACTACAGATGGTCTAATATTAAGGCTGGTGGGAGTCTTCATAATTATGTTCAGTGTTTTTAGATCTAGACCCTGAGTACCATATTATATCAATGAGTTCTAGTCCTTCCTAAATGGATTGTCTTATGGTACAAGTGGAGAGAAAATTCCAAGTTAAACTGATTTATCATCCAAGGATAGAAGGCTGAACTAAAAGCACCGAAATGAGCTATTTGGGGGTTATTTGCTATACTGAAAATGGAAAGAAGAAAAAAATCTACTTGGAAACAAAGCTGTACTAGTGACCATGTTACAAAAGAGCTGTAAAAAAATGGAATGCAACTGGCTGTTCTCTGGCAGTGTTTATATAAAACTACAGCTTTGCCTATTTGGTGAGATTGGATAAAATTTTGTCCTCAGAGTCATACTGAAGTAATAGACTTACTTTGGCTGGCCAAGAGCTTTTCCAAAGACTGTGACCACTGAATAACTTCCTCTGTAGAAAGCCTAAGATGACAGGAGAAAGAAAAACTTTAGGCAAGAAGTCATGGGGGTTTTTTTGCACATCTGAAGGAGATAAATTTTAGTATTATATTCTAGGAATATGTATACCAGGTATTTACTAAACTTATGGTTTTCTCATAATTTGAGACCCTGGAGGCAGCCTATTTTGAGGAAAATAATCAGAGATGGGAAAATGTGCAATTATGATGTTGTTCTGAATTCTGTTCCCAGGAAGATAAGCTTCTACTGTAATTGCAATAAAGTAATTTTGTACCTGTACTTCTATTCCCAAATTTCTGCAAGAATGGTAATATCTCCTGCTCTTCACTTAAGTGTGAAGCACCGTTTCTTGTAAATCTTTAGAGAATATGTGAAGCACCGTTTCTTGTAAATCTTTAGAGAATAGATACAAAGTCCTTCTGATGAAAATGGATTTAACTGAGGTGTCTTCTCCCTCACTATTTTATGCAAATACATCAAATCACTAAGAAAACATCTTTAACTCCATGAATAGTTTCTATTTACTAATGTTCACCTCTCTTGCAGTTTGGAAATTCTAGGCATTATTATAATATTTGTTGTTCTAGTAGTTTAGAAATGATGTAGTTTATTACATTGTAAACTAGCTATAGTTGTATTTTATAACTTGTTTTATCTCATACTTACATGACATTTCTAGTGTTGGAAGTCTTGATCCCAGATTCAATATGTGGTACCATGCACTTCAAATAGTTTTTGAGATCTGCACCACTGAAACAATGAACAGACATTTTTGTAATCCATTAAAATTACAATTGCATTTAAATTCCACTTAAATTTTCTTCAAACATTTAAACAGAGACAGACAGCTCCATCCTATGGAAATATCTTTCCGAAGTCTGGAAAGCTACGTACCCAAGTAATTTTTTTGAAAAGACTAAGAGGCCCCCCCTGTATCCAAATCTACTTCTGATTACTTAAAGCAATCAATTAATTGGTATGCATCAGCTCAAGCCCTTTTTAATGTTGCTGCAGTCCTGGGCTTTGAGCAGGCTTTTGCAGTCATCTAGCCTGAAACACAGTGCTAATTCTTAATCTCCAAGATTAGCGGAGTGCTATTTTCACTTCTAATACATTAAAGTTTATACCAAGTTGTATATACTTACAAAGACTTTTGCTTCTTTTTATGGATTTTGCCTTCTGCAAGCTTGCAGTCTTCTCTTCCATTTAATTCAGTCATGTTGTGAGAAAAAAAAAATCCTGGCATTTTACTTCAATGTGAAGCGACTTTTGCAATGATAATCCTCCAAGCACCAAATGTCAGCTCCCTGCCTCTGCTGCTGCCTTTTATTGACGCAGGCAGTCCTTCTAGCTGGTGTGAACAGATCTGTTTATCATGTATCCTCACCACAAACTGGAAGTTCCCTTTTTTCAGTGCACAGTGACGTGAGTCTTTTGAGAAAGAAAACAGACAGCGGTGTCTCGTGGTTGAAGTTAAACCGGATGACACTGAATTACTTCGGGGGTTGTTATGTATGTCTGTGTGTGTCTGTTACCCCCCCCCAAAAAAATCCCCTCTAGAACTTTGAATCCTTGTCCCTTTCTGATTGGTACTTGCAAATCAGAAATATTTCTTGGTTTTATCAAATGGGCTGCAAATACTGCAATCTTTTTCTTCATAAAATTCACCCGTTGCATGCCCATGACCTGAAATTTTCAATTAATTAAGTGCGCTCAGCAGAATACTAGAAAAAAGTATTTTAAGATACTCCAGTATTGAAGTTCCATATGCAACAAGCTATATGCAAGTCACCAATTACATTTCAACCTAGAATACTATATTGGACAGAGGCATCTGGTTTGTTTAGACATGTGCTGTGAAAATATTTAGAAGTGATTTTCATAGGAAATGGTTTTGAAGCAGCAAGAATTTATTTAATTTGGTGTAATTTTGCCAAGTCAGATTATTTGGAAGCACACTGCCATATTTCAGGAACACCTGCATAATTTTAAGTGCCTTGGCACGTATAAATATTAAGTTAAAGAGCTGCTGTTGTAAGCACAATGTGAATATTACAGCAGGTTTGAGGGAGGTGTGCGTTTTTTGTGCATACTTGAGTTCCATCGCACAGAAGAAACCATGGATATAAAACAAGATGAAGAATTAATTGTAACTCTCTGTCTGGGATGATGATTTAGATGTTTGATCTGGTCCCTGGGCATCCCAATTTCTGCTTGATTGCTTGTTGGTTTTTTTGTGTTGGTGTTAGGTTTTTTTTCCTTTCTGTGACATTTTGAAGATTTTGTTGTACTAAATAACACGTACAACTTTGATAACTTATAAATAGCTCATGAATGATGTGAACAGGGCTGCATATGATCGTGGTAACTGCTCACACATCTACAACTTCCTAGTGAAGTGTGATGCAAAGGACTGGGAGACCGAAAGCTGTCTGCAGGCAGCTGTGCACGCAAGGACACACTGTCTGCATCAGGGTGGTTTTAACCGCAGGAGGCTACTGATCCCGGGTGTTAGTGACACAAATTTGTCTGCATAGGTCGTAGTGCAGGAAATATTTATCTCCGTGCTATCAGGTAAACACTGACCTTTGTGCAGCAGAGATATTTACCAACTGCTCTTAGCCGCCCTGAATAAGGCTAAAAAGGAAGAAAGATGTTATCAGTACTGTGTGTGTTTTCGTACCTAGCGTGCTGGGCTTTGACATTCAGCCCCCTCAGCACTTCATTGTGTTTCCTCAGTTAGTAGCTGTCTTCAGTGAATTGCTGGGAGGGTTTTAGAGATGCTGCATCCAAACTCATCTCAGAAAGGTGCAATAAAAGGGTAAAAGGCGACAGACAAAAGTCACATCGAGGGGGGGGGAAAAACCGAAATCACTATTTCCTATCATATCTCCCGGTACTTTGTAGCCTGAGGCTAGAAGCAGGGCAATGTCTTGAACTTACAATTACAAGCTGGTATAAACGAGCCACCAGAGACGTTCTGTGAGTCTAAGAGGGACTAGATAGAGTAGATTCCTTGAATAGGATGGTTTGTTTGTTTATACCTACTCTCAATGCAAGACTGTTGACAATTCGTTTGCAAGACAAGGAACTTCTGTTCTCCATTTAAAATGAAATTACTATCTTTACTTTTGGGATTTGTTAAATATATCAATGCATATAACAGGTGTTGCATCAGACCTTCCTCTAGAAAGGGATTATCATGTGGTCTTTGTACTTCACCTTCTTGCAATAAATATTCTCTTGAGTAAAGAAAGAATAGTATTCTTGTAATTAACATCAAGATAATGCTGCTGTCACACAATATTTGAATTGCTTTCCAGGTACTTTATTTTTTGTAGATATATTAATATTACATAACAGTGTCACTTGTAGAGATATTATACCACTGGACTCTAGGGGAAGTGATAACCTTTGCTTTTAGGGTCCTGGTGCTAATAAAGACAGTCAAAAGTGAAGTAGGAATAGGTGGGGTACTATACTGTGAAGGAAGAAAAAGTAGTGGTTAACAAGCAGACCACCTGGCATCAGCTGATGTTCTTATGTTCTGTTGTTCTCACATCCTCAATTAACAATGCTCTTAATATATTGGAGAGTCCTCTCCCGTCTTCCAAATCAGTAAACCCGATTCTCTGCACTACTAATGCTGCTCTTTATTCCTGTGCAAAGAAAATCAGAACTGCCTCTCTGGTTCACTCTATGCCAGATCTATTTGTCTACTTGTGTAAAGATTCATGTAAGACTGGGAAACATAGAAAGAAGACGGGGAGTTATGAGTATCTGATTTGGAGAAGGGATTAACAATGTGTGCCTAGGAAAGAAGTTTGGCTCATAAACTTCTAGCTTAGGCCATAAGAAGTGTAAAGACAATGTAAAACAACAATATTCTCATATCTTCCTGTAAGCAGTGCTCAAACTCCACAAAATCAAAGCCTACTGCATTTAGTAGCAGACATCTCAAGATGGAAGTGTGATTATTATTCACTTTTTTTCCTCCACTGTGGATAAATACTTTCTTCCTCTGAGTAACTCTGATCTTCAAGACATCCTTTTTTTTCTCAATGGCATGTTTTGCAGACTCTGATTCACTCTTTCTATTCAAACCCACTCATCTTTAAAACTTTACTTGTTGAGCCCAGTGCAAGTTTCCCAATTTCAAGAATGGGAAGAATTGTCTACAAGACTTAGGTAAATACAGAATTACAGTGAGAGGGGAAAGAGCAACTGCAAGATTCATAGGGCTGACACTAACTTTTCTCATTACTTGGGTAACCTTATGCTTCCACAGAAAGTCTGCAGACCACAGAAAACCAGGAAAACCCCTGCATGGAATTTCCGAAGTTAAAAGTACTTTGCTAACTATGTATTTGGTTACTGTAGGGGATTCTGCTTTGCACAAGAGTTGGACTAGGTCCCGTGGATGGACTAGAGGTTGATTACCTACAGCTTGCACCATTCTGTTGTTCTGAACACTCTGACTTGACATTTGCAGTGTCAAAAGGGCTACTGATTTTTAACTTGACTTTGAAAATATAATACTTTCAAACCATATGCATACATCCATATTCAGGGTCACTATCCTTGTTTCCTGTAGGCAGAAGTGTAGTCCAGGTTCTGGTGGGGTTTAACATGATTCCATGAGGTATCATAGTTATGTCCAGAGCCTGTGGAAAGCTTTTGCATAACTTCTGTCCTCCTAATTTCCTGGGTTTCTTTCAGTTTTCTCATGAGATGGTTGGTAATAGACCTGTCTTTTTCATCTCCCACTGTCTTAATCTACCCATATAATACTTTCCTCTATGTCATGCAGAGCATGATGGCTAATTGCTGCTTGAAATACTTCCTTGCTTAATAATCAGTCTTCTTCTGTATTATTACAGAAAATTGCAAAAAGTATATTTTAAGTCTTACAACTGTAGGGCTTATTAAAATAATCCCATAATTTGATACAGAATTCTTTTTGTCCTAGGGTTTGACCCAATTGCCTCATTTAACTCTGTCCAATAAAAGGACAGAGGAGCACTTTTTTGCAACAACAGTAGCACAGGTGGCCTTCATCAGCTGGTTTCTGCTGATTTCCAGATCTCTTGTAGGTTTGTGATAAGTAATTCATCCAACTTAATATGCACAGAAAACACTTGTAAATATTTGCTAGTATCCAACCTGTTTCCATGCATTGTTTTCTGTTATTTCTGGTGACCACTTGATTGGGTGTAAGAGAAAAAATATGAGAATTTCCAAGGTTACGGGACAAGTTTGGTTAAAGCAAAGAGGATAAAACATTCCGTGAACTCTTAAGTCCCATTTGCTGGTGTAAATGACTTCAAGCTTCTCCTTCTGACTTCTGCTTTTACGTTTCTTTTTGGTCGCTCTTGGCAATTTTTAGCTTCACTGCACTCTTGCTGTTTATCACAGAGTTCTCTGGAGTTAAGCCTGGCCACATCTGCTGAGCTCGAGTGCCCTGCCAGCCAGTGCTGCCCCACTGCAGAATATCCACCTGCCCATCACATAGCTGAGCACCAACTATGAAAACAAGTGATTTCTTGGAAATGCTCCTGTCTTTTATGTGACCTAAAGAAGTCAACTGCTGATAAACCATCTCTCTACCAAAAAAAAAAAAAAAGGGCGCTTAAAGGAAATAGAAACTAATTTTTATGTGAGAGGAAACAGTGCTCATTAAAAAAAAAAAAAAGGGGTGGGTGCTTTTGAGGTGCAGGGATGATATGCTGGAACATCAGGATTTTCACTAATAGCATGTAGTCAGTCCATAACAGTCGTGGTATCCATTATGATTTATTTTTATATCTGATTTCTGCTACAAGCAAAAGTTTGCTCGAATGAAATACTGAAGCCATTAAGATAAAAATCTTGCTACTGGTTTTAGTGGTCTCATTTTTGGTGTTGGAATGATTTGACTGAGAATTGGTTTCTTTGAGGATTATTTCTTTTGTTTGAAAGTTCAGATGTTCCCAATGTTAGCTGTTGTTCCTAGTTAATTCGATGATAGTTGTAATTTTGGAACCAATAAGGCCTAACTAGGATTGAATGGCATCGTACTTATCAAAATACAAGAGGACTTCTATATTTGAAAAATAAACGAAGCCTGATGCCAGCCTAGGTCAAGGAATGCCACAAGCTTAACCTTGGGCAATGATCTACCACTTGAGGAAAGTCTTGTGGTGTTTGTTCTGAGGGAGACCTGACTCTGGAGGACAAGTAACCAGAGCTTTCCTGCAATCTGTTTTAGCTCTTTCACTTCCTCAACATAAAATAACTTGACAGAAACATTCCTGCAAACTGCCAGTTCTACCCAAAATTGCCCTGTCTGTCTTTGAAGTATCTGCAGGATACTTTCAGGGGATTTTTTTCTTTTAG